CGAATGGTCAAGTCGAAGCAGCTAACAAAGTGGTGATTGGCTTGATAAAGAAACATGTTGGGAAGAAGCCAAAGAATTGGCATAAGACGTTAGACCAGATTTTATGGGCTTGTCGAACGTCCCCAAAAGAAGCCACTGGTACAACACCATATAGGCTAACTTTTGGCCATGATGCAGTGTTTCCAGCAGAAATTTGTCTTCAGTCTGCAAGGGTTAAGAGGCATTATGATATTCCTTCTGAGGTTTATTGGAACATGATGTTAGATGAACTGGTGGATTTAGACGAAGAGAGATTACGCGCTCTCGACTTACTCAGGCTTCAGAAGAAAAGAGTAGAAGACTCTTATAATAAAAAGGTAAAACCTAAGGTATTTTTGCCTGAAGAGCTAGTTTGGAAGGTAATTCTTCCCATGGATCGAAGGGATCGAAGCATGGGGAAATAGTCACCCAAATGGGAAGGACCCTTCAAAGTTATCCAAACTTTTTCTGGTGGAGCCTATGAAGTCGAAGAGTTAAGTGGAGATAAAAGGCTCTTGAGAGTAAATGGTAAATATTTGAAAAAATACAAACCTATACTTCAAGAGATAAAAATAAAATAATAAAAGAGCAAGTCTAAATTAACCATAAAAATGCCAAAATGGAAATTTTTATTAATTTCAGCCAAGATGGCAATTGTTGTCGAATAACGATTACAGAAGATGGTTACAAAAGAGAATCAATCAAAAGGTAAGAGAGTTCCTGAGTCGAAGATACTTGGCGTGCTGCAGCTCCAACCTCTTCTTGCACCAGGAGTTTTCCTGCACTAGTTTGGCAATTTGAGCGTCGAGGCTTTGGGCCCTCTCAGCGAATTCCAGGCCTTGTTTGATCTCAGTCTGGCTCTCAGTGTCTGAGATGGTCGAAAGAATTTCCTCCTTGAGTACAGTGTTGGCGTTTATCTTCGCCTCTATCTCTGCGATTTGTGCCCGGAAGGAAACATTCTCTCGATCAATGGCATCAACTCTTTCCTGTGCAGACGCTTTTTGTTTCGACAACTCAGCAATTCGAGAAGTCGAATCTGAGACAGCAGTCCACGCAGATGAGCTTTTGCCATACAGCACTTCAAGCTGACTGTTAAACCCTCTTTGGCGCCTGTAATCCGCTGAAACTTGATCAATCATAGAGTGTAACTCCATGATCAAGTCTGAGATTTCTGGGGCTACAGCTTCAAAGTCGACAGCATTCAAGACCTCTTTTAAGCATGATGGAGCAGTGGGGTCCCCCTCTAAAGTCTTCATCAAGTCCCTCTTGAAGAACTGGGCCTTAACCTTCGCCAATGCATCATCAAGAGGAGAAGTTTCAGTAGACTTCCCCGACAGGGTAGGAATTTCCTGACTAGTGTCAGACGAACTCTTACTCTCGATGATTGCATTGAGGTAGCTAACAGGGTCAGTTTGTTTCAAGCGTTCCAAGTCCTCTTTTGACCTGTGCTTCGAGGAGGTAACCCTTGCAATAGTATTATCTTGGGTTTGAGGTTCTTGAGTGCTAAGTGCCTCGACTGGTTGCTCTTCGACTCTGACTGAGGCAGTACCAGCATCGACTTGTGGTTCTTCGTTAGCATCACCCTGGGGTCCTTCGCCAGCGTCATTTTGTGGCTCTTCACTAGCGTCACCCTGGTGTCCTTCGCCAGTACCACCTTGGTTCTCTTCGTCGGCATCATTTTGATTTTCTTCGACATCATTGCCTTGGTCCCTTTCTTCTTGATTCTCTTCTGACAAATCCACCACCTGAACCGTTTCTGGCTGTTGTTCCTCCACCATAGGTTCCTCTGTTGTTTTCTCCACTGTTTCAGCATTGGCCTCATTCTCAGTATGGGCTTCGTCATTGCCCAAGTCTTTTTCCTGAGGCCTGCTAAGTTCAGCAGATTCCAGCGTTTCTGAGGTCCTTGGTGGAGAACTTTCAGTAGTGTCCTGAAAAGGGAAAGAAGACAAATCGTCAGATGTCGAAAGAGACACAATCGAATACGGGTATTTATGCCTAAGTTATAAAAAGGGTCTAAGGGATTACCTGTGGATTAACTTCAGCCCCAGGGCTGGAATTGTCACTTTCGACAGGCTTGTTAAGAAGAACGTTCAGTTCCTCCTCAGTTGGCTCCTCGATGATCACTGGAGGTGGCCTAGGCTTTCTCACAGCGACCTTTATTCTGACGGTTCGACCTTCAGGAGCAGGAGCAGGAACAGTAGCATCCTTCGTCAACTTTCGCCTTTTTAAGGGGGCAGGAGGGGAATCACTTTCGTCATCACTCCCAGATTCGACCACCAGTCCTGGCCGTTTCTTGGGCGAAGGTGCCTAGAAAACCAATAGGAATTCGATTGAATAATTGCATCGAAAATAAAAAATCGAAAGCCAGAAGAAATTTGAAGAAAGTCTGGTTACCGATATAGGAGGCCTCTTCGAAGAGCCTTCCCCCTGTTGGTTGCCTGTGGTCTTCGCCGGCGCTACAGTCTTCGCCGGCGGTGGAGGTTTTGTTGAAGGGGCTCCTCCCTGTTGGCCTTCTGTAGCCTTCTTGGCTACAGGCTTTCGAACAACTGAAAGCAAAGGAAAAGTTAACAGGCTAGCAGTCGAAGAGAAAGACAAAAAAGTAATGTGAGAGCATGAACTTACATTTCTTTACTTTGTCCAACACAAGGACAAAAGACTTCTGCAACTCAGCCATGAAGTCCTTCTCGTCGAAGAAGTACTCAGCATAATAGCTTCTCCACCACTCCTCGAAGGATGGTGAGCAAAGGAAATTAAGCTGGTAGTTAAACAGCGAGAGGATTGTTCGACCAGCATATCTTCCGATATGCTTGATGGCAGCTTCTTCTGTATAATCGTTGCAGAAGTACAACATTGACTTCTCTCTTTGAAAAATCGGAGAAGGCAGGGTTTGGATAATACCAAACTGGCGAGATACCAGATTTGGTTGATAGGCAATCAGACTCAAATGAGTCTTAGAACTCTTAAATCGAAGAGGCATGATCCTTGGTGTAAGGAACGCCTCCCAAAGTATTGTATGCTCATCGACATTGGGACCACTCGACTCCTTTGGATGTGGCCTTGTAAACCATGCTGGGCCTACTTGTCGTCGAGCAAATGGAGCCATAGTTGAAACAAACTCCTTCCTTCGAGCAAACATTAGAACGAAGTTAGTGAAGGTTTGTTGAAACTCCAGTCCATCGTCCGTAGGTGTCAGCAGAGCCAGCCTGATTCCTTCGATGCGTCTATTCGCTATCGCTGGAGCTTGTTCATTTATCTGAACCTTCTTGGGCAAGAAAGATTCGAAAGTGGCGTTGAGCCACAGTTGAAGTAGCCAAAAAGGCCCAGCGAGTAGCAAACTGGCCCTGTCCTCGATATGTTTCAGAAGAGTGGCCCCATTGCTGATCGAGTCATAAAGACTGGCCAGAATCAGTTCTGCCAAACAGATGTTTTGGCGGTGATGCAGTTGGGTAGCAAGAGTGACCATCTTTTTGGTCACCTGCAGAGACTTCGAGCAAAACACAAAGCGAGTTAGCCATAAGGCTAGAAACGCTATGTGTTCGACATCCGACACCACGTCTGTCGACTTGTCGTGATAATGGTTGATAAAAGTGGTGTATGTTGGCTTGGTCTCAGAGAAGCCAATTTGGTCCTCCGACATCTCCTCCGGATCGAAGTAATCTCCGGTTGGTCGAAGGCCAGTAATAGCGGCCACGTCGAAGAGTGTGGGGGTTAGCATCCCACATGGAAGATGAAAAGTAAAATGGGAGTAATCCCAGAACAACAGTGAAGCTATCAGCATCTCTGGGGAGTAGTTCAAACCCGTCTTCGACAGCATCACTAAGTGGAAGATTCCCATATCCTTCCAGATCGAGGTTTGATGTTTCTCCAACTTTGTTAGCCAAGCAACATAATTGGAGGTCAGATTAGGGCAAGACCTGAAGACCCTAACCCCTCTGTTGAAGAAGCGGAGGTCGATTTTTTCACGAGTAGGGTCTTCGTTGTCTTCTGCGTCTTTCTTGGCGCATGCTACTGGCTTGAGTTTCTCGACGATTGGGAAATAGCTCTTGATCTTCAGAGCTTCAGAGATGCTTGGATTCATGGGGCCAGACATTGCGAAGATCTGGTTGGAGTATCCAACCGGGATCATCAAGTGGCGCGAGTAAGCATCGCGAACGGAGATGTCAGAAGGTTCAGGAACCCTTCGTTTGCCTGTAGAGTTTACTACCGGAGCAGTGACGAAGACCTTGGGTTTAACATGTTCAGTTGGGGCGTTAGCACTAGGAGCAGTAGAAGCAGAGGCCATTTTTTTTGAAATGAGGTTGAAGATGAAATGAAAGAGGAAGAGTTTTCTGCAAAGAGAGCAAGCTTGTACGAAAACAAGGAAGTTTGAAGGCTAGTTGGCGTAAAAAGTCCCACAATGGGATATTCACTGCTATTTATAGTAGTGGGAAAAATCCCCAATAACGAGGACATTAAATGCCATTTAATGCTGCAGGAGTTAGTGGGACGCGTGGCAGCCCCCTGTTGTTTTGGCCGTTTCTGCAGAAATAGAGGGACGCAGCGTGCGTCCTCGTTTTTGGGAATTGTCATAATGACAAATTCTGAAATGACGTTTGGTACTGCACGCCGTACTGAAAGTGACGTCCTAGGATCAAATCAATGATGGTTTCTTGGGATTGTCAATAGTTGGTAAAAAGCAACAAAAAGTGCACAAGTTAACTTGTGACTAAGCGTGGAAAGACAGGTGTCGAATGGCGTTTCAAAGAATGCCTTTTTCTTTCAGAGTCGAAATAAGGCATTCTTGGGGGGCAATTTGTTGGCTCCTAAATTCGACACCTTTGTTTTGATTGATATCAGCCATTAAAGCTGAAAGATGCTTTCGACTGGCTAAGTCTGTCGAAGTGACCGTCGAAAGATGGTAAAAGTACTTAGAAGATTTCTTTCAAGGAAGAAGGCTGATTGCCTTCGACGTCGAAGGAGTTTCTCGTCGAAGATGTCTCTTGATGAAAGTGTTCGATGGTCCAGAGTGGAGCAGTTTGAAATTCAAAGCTTTGGAGGGAAAACGGTTTCCAGCAGTTACTACGTGCAAACGTGCAAGGATCTGGAGCGTCGAGCATGGAGAACGTGCCAAGTGGATTGATCTCGAAGCAGTGTAACTGCCCGACGGTTACTTGGAATGTTTTAGTATAAATAGGAGTAGACATGTAGTTTCTCGCGTGTGTTCACAATTCCATACAAAGTCACTCATTTAGATTCGAGTACCCAGCGTGTGAGAAAGAATTGTTGAGAAATGTATGTGTGAAACACCAATTTTATCAATTAAAGTCATTTACTTTCCCAGAATTTTACTTGCTTTTCTCTTTACATTTCCTGTCGAACCTTTACCTTAAAGCCTTGTTTATTTTACCAAGTCTTTCCTTTATGCAATTTACTTGAAACCTTTTATTTAAAGCCTTATCCAACTTAATCAAACTTCAAAATCAACCTATGTCCATAGGATCAATCTGATCGATCCTGCGAGTAACCAAATAAGTAACCATTTGGAGGATCAGCGGTTGTTTACCAAAACCCAAGGTAAACAGTCTCTACCAATCTTCTAACCCTTGATTCAAAGAAATATAATAAATGGTGCAAACAAATGAAAATTTTGTTTGGGTATCAAGATGTTTTTGAAATGGTTAACAATGGGGTTACATCACTTAGGGAAGAAGCTATAGATACTCGGAAGGCTGAATTCAAGAAAGAGAAGAAGAAAGAATACAAATCACTCTTCTTGATTCACACTACAAAAATAAAACTTAAATTATGGCGGTTAAGTTATGTCAGTTATTTTAAAATGCCATAATTTAAGTTGATTACGACGTTTTTACTAAACGTCGTAATATTAGTACTAAAACGATGGTTCAACTGCCACTATTTGCTGAAAAATTCCCTAAGGTGTATTGCGTGTATATCTCACTCTTCCCTTATTTTGATTCTCTTATCTATATATAATATATAAAAAATAAATTTTTATTAATGTTAAATAATAGTTAATTTATATAAAAAAACTAATAATAATAATCATCTTACTTATTGTACTACGAATTAAAAAAAGAAAACAAAATCGTATTCATCTCCTCCTTCGTATTCAACCTTTTCGCTTCAACGATACGATTTCAATCTGATTCCTTCCTTCTTTTACGTTTCCATAAACCCTTTCGATTTTAATTCGTTCATTTCATTCAAATTCAAACCTTAACAGTGATTTGAAATTAGAATCACACCTCTTCACTGTCAGAATCAATATGGAATCCTAATAATGAACCCTTCCAATCATTTGAACCGTCATTTTCGCTTCGTTCAATCGCAAATCCGCTACCTGCAATTTTGTAATCAGGTTTTCTGCTGCTTTGCAATCTATTGTTCCACAATCGGTCGTTCTACTGCTGGATTATGCTACTCAATCCACCATTCTACAATCAATCAATTTCAATCATTTTCATGGTAATAATGTGCTTTCCTTATTGCATTCATAACTCTATTTGCTAGCAGGTGAATCTTTCCTTATCTTTGTAGGTGTTTGATGCATAAGTATATAATCTCTTTTCACGATGCACATCAACTGTTCGACGAAATGCCTTGTTGGATTCATAACTCTATTTGCTAGCTGGTGAGTCTTTCCTTATCTTTGTAGTTGTTTGATGCATAAGTATATAACCTCAATTCATTATGACATCAACTGTTCGACAAAATGCCATATTGGATTGTGTTTGACTTGTATTCTCTTCTTTTCAGATAAATCTTGGTTAGTATCTCACTGACTTCATTAGCTTGAACCACTGGGTAGTTAACAACTACTTCCATTTTGAAGTAAGTTCTCTCACCATGTTCATATTGGGTTGTTAATTTCTTGCTAAATAGTAGTTACCTGCTATATGCATATTGGAGTATAGGTTTAGATTCAATGTATTCCCATCTCCCTCCTTCTTTGCAAATCTGATCTAGGTATGGATTTGTGCATAGTATTAGTAATTGAATATGGTTAAATTGAATTCAATATGGTTAACATATTCCTCCCGTCCTATTGTGTTCAATGAGAACATATTCCTCTCGTCCTGTTGTGTTCAATGAGGACTTGTGTGTTCAATGAGGACTTTGTAAACTTCTGTCATTAAAGTACATTCCTGTAATAATCTGCATGAACATTGGTCCTTGGATTCAAGTAAATTAATTAGAAACATAAGAACATGAAAGAAACCTTCCAAACATAAAGATAATAGTTTTCCATTAACACTAATTTCACTCAAAAAATAGTTCTGAAACAGAAACTTAAGTGGCATTTCAAATCTTCTTAATGTGGGATGGTCCAAGGATCCATTTGGTTGTTGTATATCAGGTTTTTTATGATGCCAAATTTATCAATTTTCTAACAGGTTAATGTCAAATGATCCTCAGTTAGGCAAGTAACCCTCTAGCAATTATGGTCCAAGAGTTTAATAATAACTTGATAACCAAATGTTAATCTACTCATCATAGTTCTTACGTAGAAAAATATGTTATTATAAGCTCAAAAGGAAAGTCTTTATAAACACACCATAAAAATTGTAAATTGAACATGTAAATCTTAGTAAGCTGCCTCAATTCATACCTAGTGTTCAAATTATCATGCACATGAGATGGTTCTGCTGCAGATATTTCTGAATCACGAGAGTCAGTAATATAATATGAGTTTCCATCACTACATTCTAGTTGATCAATAAATGTTGCTGCAATGGAAAGGACAACTAATGGTTTTGATAGTGGTAACAAAGAGTATAACTATCTACTTAAATATAGTTGAGTTTGGGATGTTAGAAGGAGAAAATACAGTGAACAACTTCATAGAAAGTGAGGGAACTTGTTAATGAATCTTATTCTCCACTCCTTAACCTTAACAGGAACAGAGTGCTAGGGAAATATCATATTGTATATATTATGCTAAAGATGAAATAATACTGTAGGCAAGAATAGCTCTTAAAAATAGTCTCCTTGGTCCATCAAAGGGAATTGCAATCTTTTCTATATTAAACAAAAATGCAGCACACCCCACAGTACTTCTAAAGTCACCATGCCTCAATGAAACAAGGGGTTCATAACATCTTTGTGCAAATCCTTTGGGATGCGATGCAACAAGTTATTTTTTATATGACTTTTTTGCAGTGATAGCAATGTTTTGTTTAGAATTAGAGCTCATGCTAAAGTTAGACATATCCACCCTAACATTCAGTCTCCTCCATTTTGGTATTGATGTCATTTGTTTGCTTTAGGAAGTACCCATATTATGCTTTATATATCCATTTACCACACTAGAAAAGTCATAAGAGTCCATTAGTGGCGAATTGTTTAAAATAGAAAAAGGTCTACGTGCTATATGGTTGATGTAGTGTTTACCTTAAAATGGACCCCACATCATTCAACTCTATTTATTCGAATCTCCCATCATGGGCCCCACCACGACACTGATGCCCCAAGTAGGATTGCCATGGATACCATGACAGTACCTTTCCTTGTATTTCAATGTAATGAACAATTCAGATTATAATAATAACTCGCCCATATGAAACTCATGTGTAGAACTTCAAATTATGCAGTTTGTAGAGCCCACAACCAGAGTTGTTAATCCCGGATAGCGGAGCAGAGCGGCCGACCCCCGGGAATGGGAAAAGCGGGAATAGCGGAATTCCGGATAGCGGGACAACTTTTTGTATACTAATAATTATATAATAATCTATAAAACATATGTTATAAAACATATGTCATACAATACTAAATTAATTCCACAACACTCATAAAATACTTATAAAATCTAATGTCAAACAAAGAACAATGCTTAATCAAGACTTAAAACATAAAGATTCAAAACATAAAGGTTCAAATGTCAAACAAAGAACAATGCTTAATCAAGACTCAAAACATAAAGATTCAAACATAAAGGTTCAAATGTCAAACATAGAAATCATATAGCATCATCAAAAAATTCTTCTTCCTCTTCATCTTCTTCTTCAATATATTCCTCCATTTCTTCATCTTCATCTTCAACTTCTTCAAAATCTTCCTCCAATTCTTCATCTTCAACTTCTTCAACATCTTCCATCACTTGTTGTTCCATTGGTGCTCTAGTTGCCATTGTTGCTCTTGGTGCAATTGTTGCTCTTGGTGCCGTTGTTGCTTGAGAAGTACTTCCAACTTCATTTTGCCTTGTTGTCCTCCTAGTGTAGATTATAGGCTCATTAGCCCCACTAGCATCGGCAACTTGACTCCAAGTTAAATCATCATTTGGATGAACCAAGTCTTCACCATCATCTCCTACCTTTTCCATCTCTCCCACCAACCATTCGGTGTGGAAATTAATTTCATTAAATTCCATAGGATCAATTTTATCCCGACTTTCAAACCTCTCCACCAAAGCTTGATTATACTTGATAAACACCAAGTCTTGCAATCTTTGATGTTCCAATTTATTTCTCTTCTTAGAATGAATCTAAAATACAATAATTTGAAGTATTAATTTAATAATACTTGCATGTAAGATACTTTAAAATCCTAGTAAAAAATTAATACTCACATGCTCAAAGATGCTCCAATTACGCTCACATCCGGAAGCACTGCAACTCAAACTCAACACTTTAACAACCAACAATTGCAACTCCGGAGTTTTGGCTCCATAAGACTTCCACCACTCGGCTGCAAGTAATTGTAAAAACTTATTCCATATACATAACACAAAGTGTATCACATGTAATTTAGCAAAAAATTATTTCATCTTACCTGGAGCTAATGTCGACCTTTGTCTAATTGCCGCTTTTATACCAAAGAGACCCGTAGCACCCCTGTATTGTGACAATTGTTCTGAAATCAAATCTTCCACTTCATAACTTTCACTAAGTGTCTCAATGCACTTACGGAGGCCTCTCACCAATCTACCATTTTTCTCAATTTTTGGTTTAGAATAATAATATTCTGGATTGAGATAGTGACCTGTAGAATGTAGCGGATGATGAAGTTGACACTCCCATCTTTTATCAATGATTTCAAATACAGCTTTGTACTTGCTTGAATTTGAACTAAAAGCTTTCTCAATTGATTCTTTCGCTACTCCCATTGCGGCATATATGTATCCCATTGTGGGTTTCTTTTCATTATCAACCATTCTTAGCACATCTACAAGAGGCGCCATGCACTTAAGAGTGTAGAGAACATCATTCCAAAATGAAGCCGTAAGTATAGTAGTGGCTGCCCTTTGTCCTTTGGCATCTTTGGCACACTTGGAAGTCGTCCATTCTTCACAAAGAAACATCTCTCTAAGCTTGCCTTTTAGTTCTTGCATCCTTTGTAGACAAAGGAAATGGGTAGCAAACCTTGTCACTCCTTGTCTAACCAATTCAACATTGCCGGTAGTCTTTCTCATTAGATTTAAAGCAAAAGTATGGTTATAAATGTAGCCCACAACCTTAACCCCTTTTTGTATAACCTTTTTAACCTTTGGAATTTTGCCTATGTCTTCTAACATAAGGTCTATACAATGGGCAGCACATGGAGTCCAAAGCATGTGAGGCCTCTTCAAACACAATATTTTACCCGCCACTACATAATTACTTCCATTGTCGGTAATCAATTGAACAACATTTTTTTCACCCATTTCCTCAATAAAAGTGTCCAACAATTCGGCTAGCTTTTCCCCCGTCTTGGCATAGTCTGATGCATCAACACTTCTCACAAACATGGTCCCCGGCAGACAATTGACCAAGAAATTAATCAATGTTCTACCTTTTCTATCTGTCCAACCATCCGACATAATTGAACATCCATATCTATTCCTTTGCACCTCTTGGTTTTTCAACAAATCTTTTGTATATTCCAATTCTTTCTGAAGGATTGGAACCCTGAGTTCATGATAACTTGGCGGTTTCAAATGAGGACCATAACTTCCAACGGCTTCCAACATCAACTTAAAAGCTCTTGCATGTGCTACGTTAAAAGCAACCCCACACGTATAAAAAAAGCGACCAATATATTGAATGGTTCTTGCCCTCGCTTCTTTATCACACGCATCGTTGATGCTTGTGTCCTTACTCTTCTTATACACCAAATCCAACAATCCTTTAGTCTTCTTGAAAGCAATTGAAGAGCTCTCACTCTCCGCAATCCTCTTTCCGGTTCGAATTCTACGTATTTCCTCAATATCAATTGTATCATCCGCATCCAATTGCACTGAAATCTCTTGTATTCCTTTCTTAATTCTCTCTTTATCATCCATGTCAGCACGTAATATAGCCTTAACATCGTCGGGTGTTTTTGTGCAAGAAATTACATCACCGATAATTCCTAATTGATGCCTTTTGGCTCTACTTATTCCCCCACTGCTGGTTAAATTGCAAAAATCACATGTCACCTTCTTCCTATCATTCAAATTCTTCAAATGATTGTATTTCCATCCTATGTCCTTACTATTGGTTGGTTTGAATGTTGGAGCACATGAAGCTACTCACGGTGTCGACGAAGAAGCTGCCATATTTTTCTAGAACAGAAACAAAAAAAGTAAGGA